GCGCGTTTTTATTGCTTACAGATGAGAATCAATAGAACTCCAGTTATGATTGATAAACTAATATAAAGTGGTAATCGATTCATTTTAAGACATTCCATATAACATTAACTGTAATTTAGTGAGGAATGTGACGAGAAGATTGCCTAATATGACGATTGTCAACTAAAAGTTAATTGGGAAACGGTAATTAGCTCGTTTTATTGTAAAATTGAAACTCCACGTTGACAGAGATTTCGAATCTAAAATGCGGTGCATTAAACAAACGGCCCGCGAGCGGGACATTAATTCACCATTACGTCATGGTAATCAAGTTAAATTTTCACAATGGGGAACGAATTTCATCCCAGTTGTACTGCCTGCCGCCATCAATTTTGCAGGTGCGCATGACGTTTACAATTCGCTCACATTAATTATTCCGGAAGTTCTCAGAATCCTAACATTTCACGCCTTCCGACTCGGATAGTGCATCGCGTACATTTTACATATAGATCTACTTATCTTCGGAAGATTTCTAAAGCGTGCTTGAAGAAAATTCGTTTAGATTACCAAGAAGTACGAAATAACATAAATTTGGCAATCGATTATTCTCAAAATTTAATGTACAGAATTTTTTAAAAGTAACTTCTGCAATAATTATAGTAAATAATTTTATGACTAAGAAATACATAGAATAGCTTTAGAGAAATAAAACTTTAACACTTTTATATCTCTCTCTCTCACGCGCGCGCGCGCTCACACACACACACACACACACACACACACATACACACACACACACTACACGTTAATTATTTAAAAATTAGTTACAAGGAAACGGTTGCTGGCTTAAAAAATTATATCGTATATAATTAATAATTTTTTAATTAAGAAAACTTTTAAAAATTTCGTTGTCTGTGAAATTTAATATATTTATAAAAACCTAATACAGTTAAATTTAATAAATATACAATTTCTTTAAATTTCTAGTATACTTATCATAAATCTAATTAAATTTTCTAAAACGATATATTGCTAAACGATAATGCAATAAGATACTTTTTCTGTTCATCATACAGATAAACTCTACAGCGATTCGATCGTAATTATGCTTGGCAATATATCCATGGTGAACTTTGGTCGTCTCGCACAGAAATCGATATTCCTAACATACATACTAGGCAATCGGGTTACCACACAATACCTAACTTTCACATCGGCCGCAGATTTGAAGTCATCTGTACAGTGAAAGTAATTGCACAAACTTTCACTGGTGCGGACGACGTTTAGCGAGCGTTAAGGCTCGTTATTAGAGAGCACGTGTATATTTCAGTGACAGCCACGTTACAAGCGCGCCTGTATTCCGACGTGGAGAGACATAAGAGGGTCCCGTGGAATTGCTTTCTCGCCCTCCGATCAATATACTGAGAAAGGCTTATAGCAATAACCGTTTCTAAGTATATATTAATTGTTGTACAAATTGTGTATACAAATTTGCCTTTCCTTATTTCCTTTATTTAATGTGAATATTTGTTGAAACCAATGTAATTTTCTTTCAATACTATGGTTCTATTAATCCCATAAAAAAAATTAATGATTAACTTTATATTCCGAAATCATCATTCTCTTGTTATTTCTTCTTATTTTTGCTTATCTACTTCTATAATATATTTATATTTTTAATTTAAAAAATTTGTAATATTTAATAAAAATTAAATAAAATTTGTATTATTATAATCATATTATTTAATTATGTGTATAATTAATGTGTTTAATAAATAGAATGGAATTTAAAAAAATCAGATTATTCGGAATAATATCTAATTTCAACATGCTCTATTACGAGACTACATCAATAATAGTAAAATGCAACAATGTCAATTATAATGAAAATTCGATATAACGTTGAGGGATCAGTTTAATGGAAAATATGATTTCCAACGAATTAATCTATTCAGTAAATTTATTGGTATAATTCAACTTCAAGAACAGTTTCAAAAATGAAATAAATTGGAATTTCAATTATTTGATAATTGAATGGCATTATCATCATATCCGTCTCCTATACATAATGCGTATAAACTTTACGTATATGCATATATAATATATATGCATAATATATGCTTATCATATTATCGTGATTATATCGCAATTATAGCTGCAGGAAGTATAAAACAATAAGATACAAAATCCATTTACCTCTATAAAGAGATATATTTAATTTATCGCAGAGATTGAATGTATCCAGACTTAATCTTGATCTATATATATATATATATATATATATATATATATATATATATATATATATATATATGTTCATGTCGCAACATTTTATCATTCTTTCTGATGTCGTAAATGCATTTTCCCAGACTTTTCCACTCTTTACATAACCATTCACATATTCATTTTAACATGTTCTGTCAACTTCAAAATGTCAATTATCGTAATAATGTTCATACATAAGCACGTAAACCGGTTTTCATACTCGATTTCGTTTTGTCACATAAATGTTGAAAAATGGAAAAAAGATTTGTCGATAAAAAAATAAAACTTATACACAAGTTTGCATTTTCTTATCTATCCATTCATAAGATAAAAAAAAACAAAGAAAACTGTATTTAAAAAATTAAACATAATGCAATAATAATAATTATCAAAGTCATCTTTTGATAAAAAAAATATGTATTATAAAAGTATTTTTCACTTATAAAAGAGAATACTAAAAAAAAATAATAAACTGATTAAATAAATTGACTAAATTACAATAAAAAATATAGAAATGTATTAATATTATAATTTTTCTAATAAAATACATATAATAAAATATAATTTTATATTCATTTGTTATAATTGAAAACTGTAATAAACTGTAATAAACATTAATTAAAATAACAAAGATATAGAAGTCAATTTATATCTATTTTTTTATCATTATTCCATTAAATGCAAAAGTTTATTGCAACTAGACAACTTGAAGCGCACAATCGTAAATGTGAAGAAACTCAATTACTCACCCCTATGACTGCCGGTGATCTTGTCCCGCAGAATATTTATCTGATGCACTCGACCATATTCCTCAAACATCGTCCTCAAATCATTCTCGTCCATATCGTGAGGTACCTGCCCCACAAACATCTTTATGTTGTCTGGATCCGGCTGCTCCACACTGTTGTTGTTCATTATGCTGCAACATGAAAAGAAAGTTTATGTTGTGTATGCGGTATATTAAACATGCGTGGAAAAAACAATATGCTGTTATTAATATGTTAACAGGTCAAAGACTCCTATATGCACTTTATCAGTTCTCGTATCACGTATTCATGTAACGTACTCGTGTAATTTATCGTAGTCGCATGGATAATAACAGAAATAATTCAATAGAAAATGGCTCTCTTTGTCATTCAATAAATAATATACATATTCAAGGCAATGGTTTACGTTTGTTAATTCTAAAAATAATAAAAATAAAGATTCATACACAAATTATTATAAAATGACTTTGGCAAGAAGAGCTTTTAGTAATTTTACGAAATAAATTGCACTTATAAGCTCTTATACTCAAGTATTACATATGTTTGCGCAATAATATTTATTCATAAAATCGATGTATAAAACGATTTTGCGAGCGGATTTATTCAGTCGACTATTTCACGACCCAGAACCCAATCGACTATTTTGATTGGACACGTTGCAAAGCGCGAAATATTCTCACGGGCATCGCACTCGTTAAACGAGCGATTAAAATATTAAGCACTTTATCTGTGCAAAGTGAAGCGGAGGATGATTTTATTGCGGCGACATATATACTATAACCGCGAATGGTCGCAAAGTGAGTTAGAAGTTATCATATCTGGAATGGAAAAATATTGGGCCGAATATTTTGTAGCATGTTCCCTATGAATATGATTTATTTTATATACAGACCATGTCATCGTTATTGAATATCGTTTCAGCTCCAGGCTGACAAATTTGAAGTCGATTTGCCGTTAGCAATAATTTCATGGAAATCTATCATTGCTGGCAAGTTTCCAACTTTCCATTTTCGATACACTTTCGACATACACAAATGTCAAATGCAATTTTTATTAAAGTAACGTCGAGAAGAAACTATTTTTTTATATTATAGTGATGACTATTTATCGCTGTGGCTGGTTCGAGTCCGAATTTAATCGCATGAAAAAAAAAATGCGAGGAATGTTTCTGAATATACGGACATATATTTTACACGTACTTATATTTAACCTACACTACTACCCAACGAAATTTTTCGCAGTGAGGCTCGCGCGCTCCGGCCGGATTAACGGCTGCATTTTGCGAGGCGTGGGCTGCATGCGACGTATGAGTATTTTAGCACATACAGCTGTGAGCGCGTTGCTCACGTATAAAAGACTACTGGTGTGTTTGGTTACCCCAGAGTACATATTTGACCGTGCACAGGCTCGTTCGCTTTCGAAACTTATGCGCGGAGCTTTTCACCGGCACGCAGTAATTTCGTCCGGATTATGCGTGTTTGAGGTCCTACCCTTGGGACGTACATCGTTCCCGCGATCGCGTCACGCGAATTTTCATCCGTCGATTCATCTGATGCTGGACAGCTCGCACGCGCAAGTTTCTTCTAATTTTATTCTTTGCGTGAATCTCCCTCGTCGGCCAATATTTTCACTACGAGCCCTTGATTAAAATCTGACACATAGGTAAATATTTTGCATTCCGGTTACGTTTTCCCTGCGAAAGCATATAAAACATTACTCTCGACTTTATTTTACAACCTCTCTGATTATTCCGACGGATGCATGCGCAACCATACAATCTTCTGAGCGATTTAGCAGCAGATCTAAATATCCTGCTTTGATTTGGAGAGCGAATCGACGTAAGTGCGAGCTTACAATAACATAAGCCGGATGCGGATGCAAGCTTTTGCTAATGATTCGGAAACTATTTGCTAAATTTGATAGCGGAAGGAAAGCTTATTATCTGTTAATGCGCTAAACTTAAGCGATACATAGGTAACATCTTTATAAAATTTTTTGAAAGTTACTTCATCAATTATCTAGCTGGATTAGTAACTTGCCTACATTATTATTATATATACCAAAGTTATACATTTAATAACAAGTCTGATAAAAACTGCCGTAGTAGAGTGATAAGAATAAGATAATTTATTTATATTTTTTTTAATTTTGTATTTTGTTTAAAATTAGCTAAAATGTGTGCTACAATAATTAATATGCAAGTATAAGAACATAAATTGAACACATCAAATTCGCAAGCATTATTAAAAAGCCACATTAGTGTTGGATTACTAATCAAAAGATTTTAGTTCAAAATGATATTTCCAAATGCAAAAAGCGTTTCAATAAAAGCGCACGCGGAACTTTTGCTTTTTCACATATGCTCGCACGTGCAGGATGCATATCACTTTAGCGGGCGGTTAGCTGTCTCGCGTGAATTATGCTCGTTGTAGAATGCGACTGGTTGTATGAGTGAAAAGCATTACTGTTTTACTGCGAGCGTGACAGTTTGTTGCGCCCTAAAATTGTTTGCATAAAGTTTGCCGGTTGAAATGGTGACCTGATGCACCGTTTCGCCAATGGCTCTTTTCTTCTGCGTCTTTCCTTCTCCTCTTTTGCGCTGCTATAAATCACTGAACTTTAATACTCATCATTCGTTTCACGGATCAAAAGTTGTAATCGATCACAACGGTATGTGCAAGATGGTTAATTACATGCGACTTTGGTGTGTCGTGACTACCTCGAATCGTTGATCTATTTGCTCGTTACGAAATTCCAGACATATCGATCGTGAAGGTGGAAAGAAGGAAAACATTCACCGTTTGCGGGATAAAACGAAGTTTACACAAAGCCGACCGTCCGAACGGCAAATAAGGAAATTTCGGAGCGCCGTCCAGCGTGCACCCCACGGGAAGGGAAAGCTTTTGCGATCCCGATGCGCGATGGAGGGAAAAAAAGAGTTCGGGAATTTCACGAAACGATAAGAGAAAGTTAATATTAGTCGGCGCGGTTTAAAGCGATTTTCCGACCGAGCGATCGCTCTCATCTCAGTCTATGGAGTGTAGGAGATCCTGTAAAGAGTAAGGGAACAGAAGGGATGGGAGGAGGAGAGTGTCTACGGCAGGGAACCCTCCAGGGAACTGCACATCTCGTCGCCTTGTCTATCCCCTTTTGCGAACAAAGATAGAAATGGGTTAACTAATCAAAGAAGCGACTACGTTAACTAAACGGGAAGGTCCGTCCTGGAATCGAGCGGCGATTGGCAATCGCTTCTTCGGGGTTGGTCACGCGCAGCATCCGCGCGATGGCTCCTCGATTGGATTAATCGAGATTTATCGCAAAGTTCCGAAAGGGGAATAGTGGCTTCGGCCGAAATACGTAGATACGTACAACTGTATTTGCCGGCTACCGCACCAATGAAATCGAAATGCATGTAATTAAAGTAACACGTTAAAATATTGCGAACGTGATAATACTATATTACGACGAAGAGGCAGATGATCAATTAAATTGTCGCCACTCGATAAACTGTTTCGATATCAGTCGAAAAGTTAGTCGGAAAGTTAGCCGGTGTCGCTACAATAATTATAAACTGGTGGTGAGCTTTTACGTGAACGCGCTAGTAATTAAAACATATTCCGCTTCGAAATAGAAACAATAAATAATTGCTAATTTTCACAATGGTGCTAAATTTTCATTATGCAACGTAACTAATTGCAAAACGCAAGCGACACTTCCTTCGCAACAGCGAACTACAAATTAGTAGCTCAGTTTCTATTCAATTATTTTCATCGTTTTTATTCAATTATTTCAATCGTTTTTACGTATGGTTTTCACTAGAAGTTATAGAAATAATTTTAATAAATTACGAGAAAAATAATTTAAAAAGTTAAAATTAGGTTAATTAAACTAAATTAAAACTAAAATAATTAACATTAGCAAATTTCAAAGCGCGGTAAATGCCCTAGATGCTTTATTACTGATTCATTTCAGAATTTAAAATTCTGCACGCTACCTTCTTCACACAATTTGATACAAAGACTTATTATAACTTTATTATTTTTTATTATATAATAGATTTCTAAGAACCGATTTATTTAATTTATACTCCCCGTACACATAAATCGTTAAAAAAAAAACCGATAATCTCTACAATATCGTATTTAATCTTTCGCAGAAAGAGTACATTGTTTTCACTATGGCTTTGTAAAATCGCGTCGATCCGGACACTTCCAGTGATTCTGGCGTGATTTGTGGGTACCGCAAATTGACCCTGGTTACGAGCAAGGGCGACCAACAACTCGTAATCCCGCATCGACGTTACTGTGACAGTAACGGCTGTTACGTATTTCCGGTGTCCAGCGTTCGCTCAATTATCAGATGACCGTGCGGATTAGTGCCAGTGGGTGTACATATATCGCGATCAGTATCTTATCGGTAATGGGGAATGCTGCTCCTTCCTCATCAAGCTGCGGGAAGGTGAATAGAATACAAAGATAGAATAGAGAGAGATGGTATCCCATCCCACGAGATCAGGAAGGAAGAGAGGAGCGCGACCGTTTCGCTCTGATAGGCGAGGTACATCAAAGAAAAGCACTCATAATACCCTTTACTGTTCTTCCTTTTCCAACCGCGTTCCCTATTTCTTCCTTTGAGTATCAAAAATCAACGTGCGATATCTACGTCAACAATTAATAGTAAATTAATAGATATTTTAAAGCTATAATTACAGAGAATGTACTATTGAAGATTTATAGTCGCCTTCCTCACTTTAATCAAAACTGTGATACTTTTGAGAAAAACATTTTTAATTACGTACAACTTACGATTAATTAAAGAGTATAGTAGTAATCAAGCAATAAGTGCATCGAAGTTTTACAATTTTCCAAATTTTGTTCGTTAGAAATAAGATCATATCTTAATGATTCTAGATATGTGATAATAAATAATATATTTTACTTTTAAATAATTGTAAATATTAAAAGTAAACATATGCAAACTAAATTTTGTTTGTCAAAACTAAGATATCGTAACTATCGTAACAGTTTTAGGTAACGATAACAAATATTTTGCTTGCAAATAATTTGAACTATTAAGAGGAAAAATTTCAAGAAATATTACACGTACTAAAAATCAAGAAAGTGAAGATAGATAATGTCATAATAAAGTAAGA